TACACCCCACACACCTGACCTAGTACTCCTACACCCACACCTGTCCTAGTACTCCTACACCCCACACCCAGCCTAGTACTCCTACACCCACACCTATCCTAGTACTCCTACACACCTATCCTAGTACTCCTACACCCACACACCTGACCTAGTACTCCTACACACACCTATCCTGTGCTCCTACACCCACACACCTGACCTAGTACTCCCTACCCCACACCTGTCCTAGTACTCCCTACACACACCTGTCCTAGTGCTCCCACACCCCTGTCCTGTACTCCTACACCCACACCTGACCTAGTACTCCTACACCCCACACCTATCCTGTGCTCCTACACCCACACCTATCCTAGTACTCCTACACACACCTATCCTAGTACTCCTACACACACCCTGACCTAGTACTCCTACACCCACACTGTCCTAGTACTCCTACACCCCACACCTGTCCCTAGTGCTCCTACACACACCTGTCCTAGTACTCCCTACACCCACACCTGACCTAGTACTCCCTACACCCCACCTATCCTAGTACTCCTACACACACCTATCCTGTACTCCCTACACCCACACCTGACCTAGTACTCCTACACCCACACCTATCCTAGTACTCTACACCCACACCTGACCTAGTACTCTACACCCCACCTATCCTAGTACTCCTACACCCCACACCTATCCTAGTACTCCTACACCCACACCTGACCTAGTACTCCTACACACCCCACACCTGTCCTAGTGCTCCTACACACACCTGTCCTAGTACTCCTACACCCCACACCTGACCTAGCCTCCTACACCCCACCTATCCTAGTACTCCTACACCCACACCTGACCTAGTACTCCTACACCCACACCCTGACCTAGTACTCCTACACCCACACCTATCCTAGTACTCCTACACCCTCCACCTGTCCTAGTACTCCTACACCCACACCTATCCTAGTACTCCTACACCCACACCTGTCCTAGTACTCCTACACACACCTGACCTAGTACTCCCTACACCCTCACCTGTCCTGTCTCCTACCCCACACCTGTCCTAGTACTCCTACACCCCACACCTATCCTAGTACTCCTACACACCCCACCTATCCTAGTACTCCCTACACCCACACACCTATCCTAGTACTCCTACACCCACACCTGTCCTGTGCTCCTACACACCCACACCTATCCTAGTACTCCCACCTCCTGTCCTAGTGCTCCTACACCCTCACCTGTCCTAGTACTCCTACACCCACACCTATCCTAGTACTCCACCCCACCTATCCTAGTACTCCCCCACCCACACCTATCCTAGTACTCCTACACCCTCACCTGTCCTAGTACTCCTACACCCACACCTGTCCTAGTACTCCTACGGTACCAGTAGCCTCTGGCATAGACTGATGGGGTTTTGCCCACTGGATTATTCTAACACCGGGTTTTTTTTTTAAGTAGGAAATTGCTAGTGGGATATTCACCGTGATTCCTGACCGTTGTATAATACGAAGTCACAGTGGGGAAACAACATTCCATTTAAGTGTGTTAATTTCTTCCTACGTAAGGGATTTCGGAAAAGGTGATCATGTATGTACTACAATACACGTTCTACTGACCTGACGAACATGGAATTTCCGGGACATTATTTGTGTATTTTGTTTGTAACTGACTGGGAAGCGTCAACTAGATGACACATCACTCGTGTTTCCGGTATGTGGATGACGGGGTGCAATTCGCGATGTATGACGTCATCCGTGCTTCCGGTTTGTGGGCGGCAGACCCAACATGGTCACTGTTTGCAATTCAAGGTCACACGATCGTTTGGGATTGTTTTTGAAACTCCTACTGTTGTGTAAGTTACTTTAGATTTAGAACCATAATGAATAATGACTTAACCGTTTAGAGCTACTTGGGACAGCTCTTGTTACCAGAGCTACTTGGGACGGCTCTTGTTACGTGAGCTACTTGGGACGGCTCTTGTTACGTGAGCTACTTGGAACGGCTCTTGTTACCTGAGCTACTTGGGACGGCTCTTGTTACCTGAGCTACTTGGGACGGCTCTTGTTACGTGAATTACTTGGGACGGCTCTTGTTACGTGAGCTACTAGAGACGGATTCTTGAGTCTCTACCTAGGGATTTCCCGATCGACGTCCAACATCAGAACGCATGTAAACAAACTGAAGGGGGGGAGGGGAGAGAAGGAAATGAAAGATTAGGGGGAGGTGAGGAAAGAGGAAGGAGAAAGGGAGAGAAGGAGATTGGGATGAGGATGGGAGGAGATGAGAAAAAGATTGGAAGGAATGGCAGAGGAGAGAGAGGAGGAGGGAGGGAGGAGATGGGAGAGGAGAGGGAGGAGGGGAGGAGGGAGGAGATGGGAGGAGGGAGGAGGGAGGAGGAGGCCACTGTTAAACGAGCCTTTGCTGAAATGTTGTGAAGAATGTCTGTTTATGACTGCAGCCAAGGACAGGTGGTGGGGAAGGTGATGATAACAAGTAAAACTAATAACAAACGCAAATAACAGGAGGACACAATGACAGGGAGGACACAATGACAGGAGGACACAAACAGGGAGGAGACACAATGACAGGAGAACACAATGACAGGAGGACACAATGACAGGAGAACACAATGACAGGAGGACACAATGACAGGAGGAACACAATGACAGGGAGGACACAATGACAGGGAGAACCTGACAGGAGGACACAATGACAGGAGGACACAATGACAGGGGGGACAAAGGGGAGGACACAATGACAGGGAGGACACAATGACAGGAGGACACAATGACAGGGAGAACACAATGACACAATGACAGGGAGAACACAATGACAGGGGGACACAATGACAGGGAGGACAGGGAGGACACAATGACACAATGACAGGAGGAC